TAAGCAGCACCAGATGGCCACTGGAGGCTATCCAGGCACATATCCAGGTAGCTTCACCCCATCCCCAACAGGCAATCAAGGGTTTGCTTTGGAGGAGAGAAAGGTAGAAGAAAGGACGAATGCTGGCATGAAGGGCCACTGCAAGAAAGGCCAGTCAGCTTACAGCAAAAAACACTGCCTGTACCTAACGTTAGTCATATAGATTTATTTTCATCTACAAATCTAATGAGTTTGGAGCTACCCACCACCAAATTTCACCCCTTGGCAAATGGCACCTGACTACAAGCACTACAAGTCCAAACTAACTTTCAGTTTAATATGTCTGAACTGTGCTTTGCATCTACATTTTTCACTGTTCAGATGACAGCAAAGTTTGTTTACTATCTCTGCAGCAGCATTAGTTGATACCAACACTTTAGAAGGCTCAAGACATTTGAAAACATTTAAAAAATAAGATTTATGTAAACGCTCTCAAATATTTGTTAAACCAGCCATTTCTGATGAGATGTGGAAGGCATTGCACATGCTTTTAGCACTGTACTGTACCAAAGGGTTCAGGGGAAGTTTCAGTAGAAAGAATGCACAAACTGACCAAGAACAAAGCCAGAAGAGCAAGTGCTCCCTTTCCTAGTGCTCTGTATGTGCCCCTATTGAATGGCACAGCATCCCTCAGCATCAGGATTACATAGTTTATAGCTTTTAGGAAAGATAAATCATAAGCAAAACTATTTACAGCATTCAAGTTTAAATTAACTCATGTAAGGCTATTTCAAGTGTGTTTGTGCTGCTATGTGGCTATTTACGTGACTACACAAATTTTCTAGAAAAAGGTTTTCAAGTCAAGGGAAGAACACTGTTATTTAATACTTTCTCAATAAAACTTCTTCTATAGCAAATAAGTAATTTCTGGACATGAAGCCCTAACTCAGAATATCCATATAGGAACAGAAAGTGTGATTGTGTACCTAATACTTCACAAGTATTAAGGTCAGTAAGGCAGAAATTGTTCCCTATAAGCCAGTGATCAGCATTAAAAATTCAGTACTCTACAGCACATGTTAACCAGTGGAATATAAGACAGAACAGCTATTTCTGAGAGCAAAGAAAAAACATGGTGTCTATTATAAATTTTTTTCCAAAGGATGCTATAAAAATACCTTTTTACCTTCCCCTATAAATCCAGTAGCAGATCCATTACTTAAATTTTGCAGTAATACCACAATTTCTACTTTTGTTTAACAAACACTATTAGAATTCCTTTAAGTTACTACAGTTGCTTATGTTTTCAGATTGTTAATTGTAAAAGAAAAACCACTGCCTGCAAATGCCTGCAAAAATAAGGACTGATCAGACAGCTATGGATAGAGATCACCTGTGTGGAAATCCCAAGTTGCCTTATGTATTTATTATTTTCTAAAGGCTTTCTTTGGATTATTGATTTTTGTTTTTCCTGTTTGGAAGCATACCCGTTTTAGGCAGAGTTTCATTATTTTCCCTGCTATGCCCTTTCTGCTGAAGATGATGAGCTATATACCCAAAACAGCCCTCCAGCCTTAGGTCTCCTGCCACCTATAACTCTAAAGAAAGATCCAGCATGCCAGGAATGCAGGGCCAGTGTCAGAGCCCCCAGCACCAGAGATGTCCTTCCAGACAGTACTCCCAAGGCTATCCTGAAGGGATTGCACATGGTGCCCTCCTGGAAGAACAAAAAGTGAAGTCACTGCAGTATGTTTGCCTTATGAAAGGAATCTATAATTAATCCTAATTGCTCCTTTTGTTTAAGCTATTGAGACCTGTGTGATATTTTTAATAGGAATCCTGGGAATTTTAGGAACTCTTTTTGTTTTTTACTTGTGTGCAGAGGAAAATAGGGGGGGATTTATTTCTGTAAATTCTCGTGGGCCAGATGTCAATGAAAAGGCAGGAAAATCAAGAGGATTATAACTCCTTCATATACACACATCTTTTTATATTCCAATATTCTAATGAACACAGTAGTAGGACATCTAGCCATGGGTTTGGGCTTTTCCCTCTTTCCAGTGCACAAAACCAGAGTATCCCAGCCCAAGCTTCATCTCAGTGTTCCAAATGCCCAGACCTGCCTGATGGACAGATCAAACTGTATCCTGCACACACTGAGCCATTGCTACAACCTGTCACATACCAGGTAAAATACCTGGCACTTTTGGTGTGGAAGTAAGAGCACTGTGTGAGAAGCAGGAAGTCTGGAAGACAGCAGGGCTTTTGTCCATGTAATGGATGAAAGTAGGACTGGGAAAACCTGCCACATTCACTGCAAACTGTGTAAAACTCCAGCACAGAGTTGATTGCACATCTAATACTCAATGTGCAGGGCTTGGCAAATCTTGGAAATAAAGTGACTAACTCACTGGGAAAAACAACAGGGGAAAAAAAAAAAAACAAAACAGTGGTAAAATTAAACTCCAAAGATTTTTCCATAAGAAAATTCTAGACAGCAAAACCATCATGTTCAGTGCAGTAGGCACTATAAAATACATACTCTTGTCAATTGGCAGCTTTGCATTCCAGGCAAGGCTCATCCCCAAAAGGTGGGGTCAGTACCCATCACAGAAGCTGCTCATGTACCAGAGAGAATAAAGAAATACACCTCCTCTCAGGAAGTTTAGAGAAGTGGCAGAAGCACATGGAAAATCCAAATAAAATATTCTGTTTTGTAGACCATTTTTCATTTGCGTGTATATACATACATAATATTTATTTATTTTTCTGGAGTTGCACTTCTGTGCATCACAGAAAATATTCTGTACATGAGCTTTGGAACTGGGTAAATTGTGATGCAGAGCTGCATTTTGGTGGTCCTTGCTGAACACTGAACGAGACCAAAATCCAAAGTTAAACAACCACTACATTTGAAAATTCCTATCAAACTAGATTTACTTTTATGGTACAGGTCATGAACCCCCTTTTCAGCCTCATCATTCTCTGAATTACCAGATCACAATGTAAATAATTATTTTAAATGCCTGGAAGAATGTGAGAATCCTCTCTCTAAGAAATGCTTCTGCTTGGGTTTATGTTTTCAAGAGTTTATAAAAGCACTTCACTAGGCAGCTTCGTCGTGGTTTCTGATGACAAAGAAGTTTGTCATTATCAGAGGCCATAATTCAGATGTTCCTGTTCTATTCGGCTTCAATCCAGATGAGTGTAAACACAAAACAATCCAAAGACTGCTTCTGTTTTTACATAGGTAGCATTCCAGTTTCAGACAGTCTTGAAAAACTGCAGAGCAGGATTCAGTCAACATTCTCCTCACCGAGGCTGAATCCCTTCTGCTCATTCAGACACTCCTGCTAAGGTCTGCACAGCAAGCTCCCTTGTCCCGAACAACAGGAAAGATCACAGCAGGGCCGTGGAGGGGTTGTCGATAATGGATGTTAATGAGCAGCAAAGTTGCCTCAGAATTTGCCAACTGTAAACCATGTGCTCCTTTCCCTTGCAGAGTCTCAAAGGAAGAGGCAGCTAGTTTGTAATCTGCTCAGGCATTTCTGCTTTGCACCTCAGCCAGCCAATGTGAATCATCTTCTGACAGACAAGTACTGCAATCTCCAAAAAACTAAGTGGCAGGCTACTTTATGGGAAAGGACTAGGTCTTGTTTCTGGTAAGAGTCATCACACACACAAAACAATGGTCAAGAGTGAGAAATGCAAACAAGAACAACAGATATACCTTGTGCCTCCAAGAAATTTTGCTGTTAGGAATAAGTGGGAAGCATGTCAGGATTCAATGACATGCAGGACAGCCAGTGATCACTGGTGCAGTAATGCAGTCAATGCAGTTTGGTTTTGGGAAGCTCTAAGGGGAAGATTACAGCAGAAGCATGTATCTGCATCATTAGACATGTGGGCCAGATGAGCTCATCAAAGCCCACTCTGGCTATGACAGCCACATAAACTGCAGTCTGGCTGCACGGAGCATTCTGGATCCACTCAGGACACAGGGATGGCACAAGTCAGAAACTCCCCAGCCCTTCAATCCCTCCTTAGTCTCTCAATGCCCTTTGCAAAAGCCAGGGCACATTCAAACTCTAAGCATGAGAAGGCCCCTCAGTTCATTTCTGTTGCATAGAAGTAGGCAGGTGCATGAAAGGAAACACTGACGGCCTCCTTGGCCAAATCTGTCAGCACACGAGCAGCCTCCTCTAGGCTGCACAGGATGAGAACATATGCTGCAATTGTGTTTGGGGGAAAGAACTCCTTCAGATCAAAATACATACATTTTTGTTGCTAAATGTTATGTTACAAGTTAAAACTGTATTACAAAAAAGACCAAGCTTTATTAATGTAGCTTAAAAACAGCAAGAAAAAAACCCTAGAAAGCTTCCAGCAATATTTATCCAATGGAACATCTGTGAAAAACATTTGTTTTAGGAAGAGGCTATGTAAGGTTCCAAATAACTCTCTTAAGTGAACAGGAAAATAATTCTAGCACAGTGCTAAAAGTGTCCCCTTTGGTAAGAAACATCACATGGATGGCACTTTAAAAACACACGAATGCAAACTGCATTAGCCATTTCTTCTAAAAATAAGGCTTCAAGGATAGTTATTTGCCAAAGTAATACCTCTGCCAGCATTTAAACCATTTTGAACCACTATTAAAGCTGAAGATGTCTGACCTTCAGTAAATTATTAAGCATGAATGTTACTTTTCAGACAGCATTAGTGCTGCAGGATGTTGATTGAGGCTACCAAAAAAAGAGAGAGATCTTTGTCAGGTGTCTGGAAACAGAAGTCCAGATCCTACAACCACTCAAATATTTTTAAACCACAGCAATAAACAATAACAGGGTGTACCTTGTTAAACTACTGGGATGTAATCCCAGCTAGAAAACTGCTCTAGAGTACAGTGGGAACTGGGTTAGAACCTTAATGTTCTGAAAGGCAAGAATAAAAAGCAAAAGATTTTTAAATCATCACTTGTTAACAAACACCTTTAAATATTGCATTAAACTGTAACTTACTCATTTTCAAGTCTTATGTGCCCATGAGTAGTAACAGCGTGGCTGGTAAAGTATCCTTCCAGGAGAAGCAAACCTGGCAAAAACAAAGACCAAAGAGAGAGGAAAGCAATATTAATGGATTGTTTCCAGATCTCATTTAAAAAACGTCACCGAACTGTGTAAACAGAGATTTCTTAAAGGTTTATAAGTTTATTAAATTTGAGGGTTTTTTCACAGGTACAGCATGAGGTAAACTAATAATAAAAATATTGCCCCTTATTCATCAAAAGACATCAGTTGTCTGCTCCACAGCAGGAATGCATTTCAGCTGCACAAGAAAGTATTCTAAATTTTTCTCTGTGTTTACTGTTGGAGACAACAGAACAGGTTTTAGGTGTTGCAAAAATCACAAACCACAAAACCCGAGGTTCCACTAATTCTCAGTTACAAGCATTATTCCTATGAGTTCTATAAGAGCCAAAACAACCCTCCAGGTATATTAAGCTTTCAAGAACCCAGAATTTAAATAAGAAAATAATTTACATAATTTTGGAATGTTTTTAATTTGTTAACTTATGTTTGAAAATGTTAAGTTAGATTTCAGACCTTTCCCTCAAACTATATTAGGTATATCAATAAATAACAAATATGGAAATCAGCATTCCCATAATAATTTAAAATCAAGAACTTTAAGATGAATATCTAATTAGGTAAAATGTGATAATATGCAAGTAACTGTCTGGAATACTCTAAGAGTTGTGTACAGTGCCCATATTTTCTTCATTATCAGATTTTTCCAGAAAAAAGTCATTGTTCTGAGAGACAAAACTATGCTTATTATACTATTTTTCAATTAAGCCATATCTTAAAATCCAGTAATCACTGAAAAATGGACAGTCTCCAGTGCGGGTACCCTTGAACTCTACAATCAACAATTGACACTGATTATATTTTTTCTTTCCAGAAATGTTTGTTCCCAGGCTCCAAATTTAGCATGCTGGTCAAATTGTCTCACTCATTCAATCCTTTTGAGCACAAACATAAAAACCTCACAAATGTTTTCACCATAAGTTAAACATTCCAAGCACAGGAACAGCTAAAGTACATAAGATAGCGTTTACATACTTATTTTCTCATCAGACTATTTATTTCTTAAATCTAAGTGATGATGATTATTTTTGGAGAGCAAGGAAAGGCTGGAAATGGTTTTCCTTCCATCAGTTATCACTAACTCAACACATGTCTTTCATTTCAAGTTACCATAGGCACTGCAACTAAAGACCATAGAAAAACCTCCAAGCTCCACTTTGAGATTGTTCACCAGAACACAGAGTTCTCTAATCTTAACTCCCAGGGCAAAATCCTGGTCCCAGTGAACTGAATGGTAAAACTGCCACCAGTGCAGCAAGGTGAGGAGTTCTCTCAAGTGGTCTTCGGCAGACCTTTTGAAGCTTCCGCACCAGCTGCTCTTTGAAATGCGCTTTTCTTTAGCAACATTTGCCCCAGCCCATTCATCTCTTTGTGGGACTGAAATGATTTAACCTCTGGCGAATTAGTCCTCTTAGCTACCCATTTGTTAACAATCCCTTTGCATTATTCCCTTCAGACGACACTGATGGCCTCATTAGAGTCTAGCACCCAAACACCACGGGAGGACACTGCACATCTGTGACACACACTTGCCATTCAGAGCTCTTCGTTCATCAGAGCAGATTTCCCCGCAGACAACGCTTATGTGGTGTCTTCTTTCACCTGTGCTTCAGAGGAGAGTCCAACTGATGTGGGTTCTCTGTGCCCAGATATCACCACACTTTTCCCAGTCCCCTGAGGTGAGACATTGCTGTCTTCACCGTTTGCCTTCCTGTATGTTTGTCCAGGGATCTCGGCCTCACTGCACCGCGGGCAGTTGTTCAACACTTTCCATACTCTTATTTCGCAGCAAGAAGCCACTCAGTTCCTGCAGGATTCAAAGACACCTGAAAAAGAAAGAACATATCCATCAGTGAAAAGCTCCTTAAAAATGAAAGCCTCCCTGCAATGGCCCCAACACCAAAGTGTCTTGAATGCCATACCTTACAAGTTAAGAAGGGTGCACAAATAACACCTTCTGCCTTCAGACACCAAATCTGTCAACTCTACAGGAGGATGCTCATCCCCAAGATAGTGATTTTATGTTTGTAATCACGTCCTTATGGTCTAGTAATTATAGAGATGAGAAGGTAGAAAGGAATCTGACTTTTATATCAAATTGCATCAAAACCAGTGATGCCAACTATTAATATTCCTGTCAATATTTCAATTCAAGGGGAAAAAATCATAACAGATTTGTCACATTATAACAGACTAAGCTAGAGGCAACAGCTTAAAATGACTGGCTTGCAGGTTAGTCATGGTCTGAACATAGATTTTCTTCCAAGTAGGAATAAGAAAGCTTTTCCAATTCTATTTACAGTTTTTAAGTATTCAGAAACAGACTCTACTAAAGAACAGTGGAGGGGGTTTTTTTCCATTCTAACCAAGAGATTCACAAGGGATTTATGAAGGTTTTTTTAAAAACAAGTAAGAGTCATCAGGTCACAGATACCAAGTTGCCCTCTTACTGCAAAAATGTTAATGCTACTGGTCTACAAGAATATCAAGAATTTCCTCACTGTATCACGTATAAGGCAAAGTCTTTATATTTATTGTTACAGGATAATCAGCTACAGAGCCCTCCAGTATTTTAGAGCAAAAGCACATGAAATTTTTAGCAGCCATTCTCTTGAGGGAAATTTCAAGGTGACTGGAACAGTACTTTATATGGATAAAAAATGCTTATAATTAGAACAGACTTCTTAAATTATCATTTTTGCATTTCTTATTCATGTTAGCAGATCGCAGAAAAGGTATAGATACTTGAAAGTACAAAAAATTATAATTGAAAAGACAAAAAATTATAATTGATGTTATTTTAATTCTGTATTATAAAGAAAAAACCTACATCATTCTATTTGGAACTAAAAAGCTACACTACTTCCTCTTTGAAAGTCTGGGCAGCTATGGAGAGCTATTCACTATTAAGTAGGTAAAACCATACACAGAGTTCACAAGTTATTTCTGACTTTCACAGCAGCACTTGAAGATTATCACACAAGATGCAGCAAATGAGTTTATGCAAGAACTTGGGAAGTGAAGAAGACTTAGACAAAAGGGGGAAGGGCAAGCTCTCATCCATGGACTGCCACATAAAAATTGTGAGTTTTGAGTCATTCCTAGAGGAGTTTGTGACTGTGACCCTGCTCTTGGTGCAGGCAGTGTTTCAGCTGTGGTGTCCACCTGCGTAAGTACCCTCAGACAGCTGGAGCTGCTTTCCCCCAGCTGATAACCAAAGCTCTTCCTTCAGTCTCCCCAGACAGAAACAGAAGACGCAACCTTCCCCCAGCACTGCCTGCATGCACAGGAGAGAGGGGCAGACCCTCCCCAGAGTTCCAAGATATGATCATTATTTAATCAGTCTGAAGTTAGCTGGACCCTGACCAGTCTCAGCCTTGGTCCACCACACATCCACCACACAATTGTCTCTGCCACTGCTTCATTAAAGACTGTGAGACCTGTGTGGGGCCTGTCCTGTCTTTGGATATTATTTCCATATGAGTGTGTTTGTGTACCTGGACCTGGCACTGTTTATGCTGTCCCCCTACCAGAAGGGAGAAACCAAATGAATTTCTGTTTCTGGGGTTGTTAGTCTAACCAGTCTAGCTTGCTTGCCTGTTCTATTTGTGATTTTGTTTTGTTTTAAAACAATAATGCTGTTAAAACTCGCTCTATAAGCAGAGATATAAGGAAAACTGTATAGACCCTGATCAAGATGTTCTCAATTTCATTACAGCAGGCTTTGAATTACCTTTTGAAACTGGAGCCAATCTTCACAGATATTCACATGAAATCTCTTTAACTGAAGAAATGAGTAATAAGGTACAAACCATATCTTCTTACAAAATGCAGTATGAAACATTTATAGGAAAACACAAGCACAGACTGGATTAAGTGGGTAGGCAATTAGCAGACCTGGAAAAGGGCTTGCATGCCTAAAAGCTTATCTGTTCTCTCTCTTCCCAGTTATATGGGTCAGTGTAACAAGAGAACCTGCTTTTCCCTACAAATCTTCCCCTGCAGAAACTGGGACTTATGTTTTCTAGAACGTGCTGGTCATTTCCCCCCCAGATACCCCTTCGAAATTTGTGCAGATCATCCAGATGAAGCCCTACCCTATCACATTGAGGAGAAAATGAAATTTTCAGTGGACTTGCAACAGTAGGCAGTCCTGAAGACATGGGATACAATGACCACTGACTCTCATCCACTGAGCCAGGTTTTTCCTAATAAAATTTGTGTGTCAGCAACTAACTAGATTAAACAGAGAGAAATGAAGGATAGTGGGCAGAAAAACAGATGTTATGGTAGATGTTTAAACAGGAATGCTTACATTGGAAGGTGTGCATGATCTTACACAAGGCTTAGAAGATGGAAACTAGTCTAATTTACTATGGAGGATAAAAAAGGGGACAGAACATCAATACTGTCTGTTTAGGCTACTTCCCTTCCTTGCCTTGAGCCTGCTTTACACACCTGCAATTAAAAGAAAAAAATATATATAAAAATGAAGCTTTTGAAATCAAGCATATGCCTCAGTTTTGCTGCAAACCTTCTGATGCATCACCCATTATCATCAGAAGTGTAGGACACAATTCTCAGGCTGTGAAGAAAATCTTTTTTGCTTTCATTGTTTTGCTGTGTCTGTCCCTGCAGCCTCACTTAGTCTCTCAAATTATTACACTATTTAGTAATAGTGGGAAGATTATTCCTATCAGTCACTGTTCAGTCTAGGTCCTTAATAAGGTGCTACTGGCAAGGCTGCAAAACCCGAGAGTATGAGCTGAGGTATCAGGATCCAGTTGTCTCAACACATTCCTTGTGTAAAGAGTTGGCAATAAAACACCTCAAACTTAGGAGCAATGCTTGAAAAATAAAACAGTTTTCAGAAAAGTACTGAAAAGAATAGTTTCCCCACGCAGTTCCACCCAATTATCATTACTCTGAACTTCAATTATCATTACTCTGAACTGCAGAGCTTTTGAACCAAGAAACAAATACTTGAGTGACGGCAGAAGGAGGGGGGGCCTTATTTATTTATGCATTTATTTTTTATTACAGGAAGTTCCTAGAATGCAGGCCAATCATTTCAATCTACCAAAAAAACTCGTGAGTAAATAGCTACTGTAAGATTTTTCAGGATTTATGAAAGCAACTGTCCTCTACAAGAGTTAGGTTAGAAGGAAGAGGAGACCATCCCCAGTGCAGCAGCAGGAAAACACGACTGGGGTCACTGGCACTCTAACCTAATACACAAGTCTGTTACTTGGCAATCAGCAATCGGTGACTGCAGCCATAATCGCTGTCCTGGACCTGCATATTGCACAAAGTTGTCCATAAAATTACTCATGTGCATAAGTAGTCCCACATGGTTCAGTGGGTCTCATTACGTAAGTGTTAGCAGGGGTCTTAGGTCAAGGTACTGCATTCCTTAGACCAGACAGATTCCCACTGAAGTGATTAGGGGCGCTTCATTTGCCAAACAGAAAGAATTCCACAGGTATTTGTTTGAAGTGTGATACAAATTTACTTTGGCCATAGCTCCACCTTTCTTTAATGTTTGCAGGAAAAAGTTGTTTGAATGCACAAGTATTTACTGACCAAAGCAAATTTCAGACCCATATTTACAAGTATTTGCACCAGAAGTTTTTGTACACAGCTACCACCACACATGTTATCTGACCAAACTATAAAAAAAAAAAAATCTCAAATTTCTGCCTCTCACACTCAGATTTACTGATTTACGAGAGCATGTGAGATTTTTGTTAATTTTTAGACATACAAAGAAATCGTTGCCCATTTGCAGCTGAAAGGTGGACTACACTCATTGCCAGGTAAATCATTTCGTTTGATCCCTGAGCAAGCCCTGCAACAGTGAAACGTGGTAAATTAAGCAGACATCTTGCTAAATCAGCAGCACGGGATTGAACCCTTAGTGCTACTCACTACAAATGGATCCGTTGGATTATGGGTCATTAGTTCAATCACTTTTACCAAGTACAACCAAATTGGAATGTTATTAAACATTTATCTTCAGGGGCAGATTTACTGTGAAGATAAGGAGATTGTAGAGACTCTCCATTAGCACTGCCTATTCCAGCATGCATTCCTGTCATAAGCACCTTTCATTCATAAAAATATCTCTGGAACCCAAAGCATCCCACAGATGTCTGCCTTTACACGCTGGTGACCGCACCCTGGCACCCTCCAGACGCTGACCAGATAATTCCAATACACATTTTTTGATAACCTCTTGCTGCTTTCCTACTCCGTGCTGTCAAGACAGCAGAAACAAACCCTTTTCAAAAAATACAAACTAAAAGCTGGATTTCCCAATATTCAGTCAGTCCTAAGGATACCGAGTCACTGAGCCTGCTCCTAGCAGCGGGCCACACAGTATTGTTTGAAAAACAGAAAAACAATTATTAAGAAATGTAATTTCTGTCTCCCAAGGGTTTATTTTAACTCTTACCCCGGGCCTCCGCATCTGACTCCTGTCTCCTTCCGACGCTCACACTGGCTGGGAGCAGGAAGGCAGGACCTGTCTGTGAGCCCCTCGGATGAGTTAGGGAAAAAACCAGACAAAGAAATTCTCACAGATCTTTTGCAAGTCCTAATCGCAGGCCTTGAACAGGCACCCCAAACAATCTGTAACACAATAGCACCGACAAAAGTGACAGAAAGAGGTCTCCCTTTACAAGAATGGTTTGTCAGAGAAAAAACATTCGAAGAGAAATGGGAACAATTTACCACGTTGGTTGTAAAGGGGAATGGCTCTTACTAACTGAAGCTGAAATCATCACGGACTTGCCAAGAAAAAGGGTAGACACACAAAAGCCGTTTC